TCTCTAGATAGGAGCTTTTCCCTGGGCTCAGGTCCTGCACCAGGCACTGGTCCTGTGGGAGCCGCAGGGGGCCCCAGGCCAGATTTCCCAGCAGACAGGGGGTCTCCCTGGCTCCCCATTGTGCTCTGCAGTCCCTCCTTGCACTCAGGCTGGTTCTTGCACCCAGCAGGCTTTCCCCTGCACATGCAGCCCCTTGACAGAGCCAGATGGGGGGACTCCAGCCCCCCCGTGCTTGGCTTCTTTCCACCCACATTTGCAAGGCTGACCCCTGCCACGGGCTGTTCCCTGGACTCAGCTGCCTGCAGGGTGCGTTCCCCCAGGTCACGGCCAGGGGCAGGAGAAGCTGCTCCAGGGATCCCTGAGATGGGAGTGAAAGCAGCAGTCAGGGACCCCGAGTCCTGCAGCTGCCCCATCCAACCCCGGCACTGCCCTCCCCCAGGCAGGGGTAGAAGAGGCAGGACTCAAGCTGGGAATTCCCCCCCAGGCAGCAGGTAATGGGCAGAGCAGCTTCAGTCGGATACGGGTGAGCCGTGCCCACTGGAGAAGGCTGGAGCTGGGGCAGGGCCAGTGCTGGGGGAGCCCAGGTAGGAATACAGCAGGCCCAGAGAAAGGCCTGGGGTGTGGGGACCCTGCTTCCCCAGGCAGGTTTCCACTGCTCTGGACCCCTCTATCCCCAATCCTTCCCCCACAGCCACAGGGAGAAGAAACCATCCACTCCGGGTCTCCTGGGCGCCCCATAGCTATACCACTCCTGGGGGCAGCATGCGGGGGAGGGCATGGCAGGGACCCGTGTGGGCTCACCTTTGGCCAGGCTCGGGTACGACGGGCCCAGGACGCCTGTTGCCTTGGCCAAAGGGGGCTCCTGGTGCAGGGGGGCCGGTGCCGGAGAACGTCCATCCTGACCTGGAACAGAGAGAATCGCTGGTGACGGGCCGGCTTGGCTACTTTTCCCCAGCACGGGTCCCAAGGAGTTACCCCAGAACGAGCCGGTGGCAGCATTCTCCTGGCACAAGGTCTGCCAGCTCGGGGTCATCTGCCCACATCCAGGCCAGGGTAATGGTGTCAAGAGCAAACATGCCTTGCTGCTCCCCCAGCCATGCAGCAGCACCGTGACAGCTGCCTGTGGCTGCATGGGGAGAGCTGCACGCGTGTCGTTTCCATGCAGTAGCGCCCAAACCCATGGGGCCATGCCCCAGGGCACGTGTGCACGACCCCAGGGAAGAGCCCCTTACCTGCTGCGGCCACAGGCCTGCAAACCAGCCTTCCCCTTGTGCAGCTGCACCTCTGCCCCCTGGGACAGTCCTGGTCCCCTTTGCACTTGAGTAAGCACCTATCAGTGAATCCTGCTTGCAGCGGGAGAAACCCAGGGTTAGGACAGGTGGAGCACAGGGAGGGCAAGAGCTGGGGGCCCCATGGGACCTCAGTGCTGCCACATGGGCCCCCTCTGGCAGTGGGGTCTGCCCAGAGCACCTGCTGTGCAGCCCAGACAGACAGACAGACAGATGGACTGAGCAAACAGGTTTGTGAGCTCAGCACCCAGCCATGCTGCACCGCACGGTGACCCAGATAATTTGGACAGCCCTCACTGCAAGGGCCCTGCCCAAGCTCTGAGCAGCCATGGGAAGGGCTGAGAGAAGCTCTTGGGGCTGTGGGCGCTCTGCAGCGCAGGGAGGTCTCTGCTCATCCAGGAGCCGGCAGTGCTCCCAGCCCCATTTATGCTCACAAGCCCCGAACAGAGCGAGCGCGGGGGCAGGTCACACATCCCAGTGGGCGAGGGCCCGCGCCATGTGGGGGTCTCCTCTGCTGCCGTGTCTAAGAGGAGACTGAGTGCAGAGCGGAGGCAGCCTTGGTGCCCGGGGAAGGAACGTGGCCTTGGCTCTGTACATGTCCCCAACCTTGCATGTCCCTGCTGCCTCCTCCAGTGGTGGCAGCTGCCCCGTGGCCCCTGGCCATGCCGCACCCCAGGCTGGCAAGTGGGAGGGTGTTCAGTGGTATTCTGGGTTGCTGGCTGGGAGTGTGGGGCAGGGCCGCCACCAAGGCATGCCCACAGGGGAGTGCAAACAACCAGCCCGAGACTGATCTGGTTTCAATCCAGGAACCTGCCTCTCCGCACCATCTCTCGGAGGTCTGAAGTCTCCGGCTCTGAGTTCGAAAAGCCTCTGGCCTGGGTCCCCCCCTGCCCCTACTCACGTTCTGCTGGGGCAGCCTGCAGCACTGTCCACAGGGCAAAGCTCCCCAGGAGGATGAAGAAGACTACCAGCTTCATGGTGCCACCGGGAGCCAGGTCTGAGCACCCCGAGCCGCGCCAGGCTGAGATTTAAAGCTCCGTCCGGGGTTGCGCGTGGGTGGCAGCAAGTCAGAGGTGACGAGAGAGAACCTCCCAGAGCTGATCCCAATTGCGCGCCGCTCCAGCTCCTGGCATCCTGCCCCACCCAGACAGGAGATACCAGCAGGATCCTGGTGAGGAGGAAGCTGGCAGGCTGCGATGCCCAGAGCCACGCACGGCTGCAGGGACCGGGCCAGGCGGGCCACACCTCCTGATCCCCCCTCCGTCCTGCAGAACCCGGCTGTGCACTGAGTGTGTGCAAGCAAGAGCCCTGGCACCCTGCACACGCTGCCCAGTCCTCACCCCACACGTGACGGTGCCTTGCCTGCCCGCAGCTCAGGCAGGTGCCAGCAGCGGGACAGGCTCTCCGTGCATTTAATTTCAAACTAATTGTGTGTTTAATTCCAACCTAATGGCGTACGTAATTCCAAGATAATTGGCTTGCAACCACGAATGACAGGCTTTCCCAGGTGCTTGTGACCCTTCCTCAGGTGCTCATTGCCATAAGGCCTGCTTAGAGACCCAGGCTCAGCACTGAGACCCCCAAGAGTGGGACGAGCAGGGCCACGTGTCCCTGCACCTTCTCCCAGGTCTGCGATTCCTTGGGCAGGGAGATCCCCACACCCAGGCAGGCCCCCAGGGCAGCTGTCCAGGCTTTTAACCAGCTTTAACTGCTTGTCTTGTCTGCCTTACAACCCTCCTCCTGCTGCAGGCAGACCGCTGGCCTTTGCAGCAAACACCCACCTCTGTGCCCACATCCCTTGCCCTGCCCGTGGCTGAGTCTTTATACTTTTTACATTCTCCCATCTCCTCTGCCCTTCTGCAATGGGGTGAACTCTTCTGGACATGAAGGTCTGAGACACTGAGCTGGTCGCCTCTACAGGCACCTGTCTCATCGGTGATGTCTATGTCGTTGCACTCCTGCCCTCCCCCGGTGCACCCGTGCTCACAGAACTGAGTCAGGCCCCAAACACAGGTTCACAAGTCTGACAAAGTCTCTGGGGAACCATGGAGCAGCCTCTGTTCACTGGCCTTGGTGACCTCCTCCGGAGGAGATTGACAGAACAAAGAACAATGGTCTCAAGTTGCAGCAAGAGAAGTTGAGGTTGGATATTAGGAAAAACTTTCTCACTGCGAAGGCGGTGAAGCACTGGAACAGGTTACCCAGAGCAGTGGTGGAAGCTCCTTCCTTGGAGGTTTGAAGACCCAGGTAGACAAGCCCTGGCTGGGATGATGCAGTTGGGGCTGGTCCTGCTTGGAGCAGGGGGCTGGATTAGATGTGACCTCCTGCAGTCCCTTCCCAACCTCATTCTCTACGATTCTGTGGTTCTATGAAATCATTTTGGTGCACAGAAAATTGGCTCCCTCCACTTGCTCCTGCCTCCCCAGCTTGTCCCTCCCCCTCCTGCTTGCTGTGGTCTCAGAGTTGAGGTTCCTGGTGCTGCCTCTCCCCGCGTTTTAGGTTCTAAGATGCTACAAGCATCTCCCAGGCCCATGGTACAGTGGCTGGTACCCCCAATAGCTTCACTGTGCCCCAAGGAGGGGGCCTGGACCTGTGGGTCCCCAGTAATGCCCACTGGGGTCTTCCTCTCTGCTCTGAGCACACTGGGGCATCTCCAGCACCCTCTGACACAAAGACCAGTGCCGTAACTGGATTCAGGTCTGCAAGGACCTGTGCATGGTGACTGCAGCCAGAGCCAGTCAGGGATCAGGGAAAGTGGACCACGTGGGCAAATTTATGTTTCATAGTTTCATAGTTTCTAGGGTCGAAAGGGACCTGAGTAGATCATCTAGTCCAACCCCCTGCCATGGCAGGAAAGAGTACTGGGGTCAAACGACCCCAGCAAGGTGTTCATCTAACCTCCTCTTAAAAACCCCCAGGGTAGGAGCCTGCACCACTTCTCTTAGAAGCTGGTTCCAGATCCTAGCTGCCCTGACTGTCAGGAAGCTGAGGAGGGTTCCCAGGCTGCCCAAGGAGGGACACATGTGGGACCTGCCCAGGCTCTTGGCAGCAGGGAGGCAGGACCTGTGGAGCTAGCCCATAAGAAACAGGAGAGGGCTCCTGAGACAAGATGGGGCCTGGTGGCCTGAATCCAGCCCCTGATGGGCTGCTGCCCCTTCCTCCATGGTGATTCCCATGTCACGATGACCATATGCCCCATGATGAGCACGGCCCCTTTCAATGTCTGTGTGGCCCCATGTCCACCCACCTCCACCTCTTTCCTGCAGCAGCACTGATTTGTCCCAGCCTCATGACCAGAGGAGAGGGGAGCTTGGACTCTGTGCAATGCTACATAGGCACCAGCCTCTTGCTGCTGCCCTCCAGCCAGAGGCACAGCAGATTGACTTGGAGTGAGAATCGAAGGCTCAGCTGGCTCTGGGAACGAGAGCAAGACAGAAACGGCCTCATCCAAATGGCTGCACTCAGGGAGCTGCTTGGACCGCAGCGCCCCAGGAAAGGCTGTTACCCACAGTGCTGTTATGGCTGTTATTTATTATGTGCGTTGCAGCAACCCAGAGGCTCAGTGGGCTGAGCTGGGCCCAAACAGAGGAAAAGACTGTCCCTGCCCATGTGAGCTCACAGTCTAAGGTAGCAACGAGGCGCAGCATGAGGGTGTATTGAACAGCAAGGCAGCAGGGGACAGAGAGGATGGGCATGGTGCTGGGAACACAGGCTCCACGGAGCCGGCTGCTGCAAGCCCTTTAAAGCGACGTGTCTGTGTGGAGCTCTGCCCTGACACATGGTGCTGCCACCGTGGCCATTCCTGGCTCCATGCCCTCCCCTCCTCCTTGGCTCCAAGGCACATCTGTCTGCTTCTGTCTGCTCCATGCTTCTCCCTCAGAGGTTTCGCACTTGTTTTCTCCTTCGCTTGAATTTGAGGCTGACCCTGATCACCTAGGGTGAAAGCCAAGCAAGCAGAGTGCTCATTAGCTCCTGAGGTGACAGCAGTAGCCGTAAAGGCCACATGTCTGGCCAGCTTCATCTCACCCACCAGATTTCAGCACAGCCCCACCTGCACCTTAACAAGCATTTATGCAGGCAGATCAGAGGCTGAGCACCTCATCCCCCGCTCACAGTGCTGCAGGCAACACCTTCTGCAGTAGACACCTTCACCAGTCTACATGACAGGCCGAGGCTAAGGCCACTCTCACCCAGTGCTCCTGCCTGCAGCCTGATGTTGCATTTGCTGCTGGAAACTGCTGGGTTTGGGAATCCAGATGAGCACAGAAAAGTCACCAACAATCAACCCAGAGCTCTCTCCCTGCCTGCCCTTCTCACTGGGGCTCATTCTGCCTGTAGCAGAAGGGGAAGAGTCACCCCCACCGAGGAAAACAGGGTGCAGTCTCTTTTCCACGGAGGCCTGGCCTGGCAAGCTGCCCCTGAGCACTGATTCCAGGTGCCTTTATAGCCTCAGGTCCCATGATCAAGCAGCAAGCCTGGCATCCTCCTCAGCACCCTTCTCTTGCCGGGGCCAGACTCACCTCAGGTGGGCCTCATCATTCATCTGGGAATCACCTTCAGGTGGGAAATGAGAGCTCCCTCAGAGGGGCAGCCCTGAGCTCCTGCCCTGAGCCTGGCCCTGCAAAACCCTCTGGGTGCCACTAAGACCCACCAGGATGAGGATGATGCTGAGCAGCCCCTTCCCCACATTGAAGGCCAGCAGCCCCAGGACAGCAGCAAGGACAGGAATCAGTGGCTCCCGGCAGCAGGTGGAGTTGGGGCTTGCGCTGCCCTCTCGCTCAGGACCCCGCGGTGACATCCCCGTGGGCGAAGTGCCCAGCCAGGGCGCTGAACAGTCTGCAGACAAAAAAGAGGTTTGTTCAGGGCTAGACCTCCCTGGGGCGGAGGGCCAGACGCAGAGCGACTTCCCAGCCTCTTCTGCTGGCAGCCGCACTCCAGCCTGGGAAAAGGGGTGTTGGAAGGTAGAGTGGGGCGTCCACGTCCCAACGACAAGCTGTGGCAGCTGGCACCGGGTCCCAGGCACCAGGGAGCTCGTCTGCAGAGAGCGTGTTACAAATGATGCGGCCCCAGATTTACTCCCCTCTCCCCAGCAGGTGATCTCAGAGCACGGGGCTTGTCTCGGGGCTCTGGTCCCTGGATGTTAACTCAGGGGTTGAACAGTTATCTTGGAGGGACCTGGGGTCACTCAGGGCAGACTCTGGCTGGGCGCGTTCTGAGCAGAGATATGTTTGCCTTTGCCCATCCCTGCTTAATGACCACGCTGAGGTTATTAACAGGTGGGTGAGGGGGAATGGCGATGCACCACAGGCAGCTGGGGGACAGGCTCACTCCGAGACGAGGGGCTTGAGGCAGCTCATGCCCGTGTGGCCTGGGCCCAGGGCTGCCCTGGCAGGAGCAGGGCAGGGGAGGAGACGGCCTGAAGTGGACATTCTCTCTACACCTCTGGCCCAGGATGGGGTACTTCCCACGACAGTGAGAGAGGCGAGGGCCCAGGCTCAACTCAATGAGCTGCCCCCGGCCAAGCTTCTGCGCAGGCACCATGACAGATGTCGGCTCTGGAGAGGGGGGCACGTGGCCAGGCTGGTGACGAAGCCTGTGTGGGAAGGGCAATGCAGGAAGCCGGTTTAAGTACAGGTTTGCTCCATGCATCCTGGCCTTGGCTCAATCCTGATGCCGTGACTCAGCAATCCACCTACTTCCGCTGCAGTCCTGGCAGCCCCTGGCTCTCTCCAGAGGCTGCTCGTCCTGGCTTGCTGCTGCTATTAACCCTGCTTGGACCAGGGGGTTCATTGCTCCCACCAGCTGCTGGAGGCTCCGGGACAGCAATGACGGCATGCTCCCAACCTGCCTGGCTAATGAGCTCAAGCAGAAAACTGCCCCCATAACAGCAGCAACCTCTGAGCTGCAGCAGGGCTGGACACAGTCATGGGCGAACCGGGCAGCTGCCTGGGGCCTGGACAGAAAGGGGGCCCAAAAATGGCAAGTTTTTAATTATTATTATCATTATCTCTGGTGAAGGGGGGCCCCATACTAAAAGGCCTCCAGGAGTCTAGGTACGGTGCCGATCTGCAACCACACAGCATAGCTCCTCATTAGCCCCTGCAACTCATTGCTGCCTGCCGAGAGCCCCTGGCTGCCGGAGGCCATGCTAGGGATGCCCTTCCTTCCCAGTCAGTTTGGGATCGATGCCCTGTCTCTCAGGGGCCCCAGGCACTTTTCTCAAGTGCAGGGTGTTCACCTTGGGTTCCTGGCCAGGTCCAATGCCAGGAATCCCATTAGCTTCCTAAATGCCCTGGATTTTTCAGGTGGGACCAGTATTTCCCAGCCGCCTTGCTGGCGGCTGGAGCGCTACATGGCTGGGACTGCACCTGCTGGTCAGGGGAAGTGACACCACTCTGGGGACATAACGGCAGGACCATGACAGCCCGTGCTGGCATGCTGGGGCTGAGGAGGACCATTATGTAATTACACTCGTAATTATTTCAGCAAGGAGCTGCATCCATTTCCTCCCACCTGCTGCAGGGCAGTTGCAAAAGTGACTGTTGAGGCAAACAAAGACAGAGGGCCACATTCCGCTGTGGTAGGGCAGGCGTGACTCATTGGCTCCCCATACGCCAGGGCTGTTTGACTGCTGGGTGGAGAGTCCTGCCTGAGTTCACTTCTCTGGACCACAACAGTCAGCACAAATAGCTGGCCATGGGCCCCTTGTCTCTGGGGCAGCTCCACTGTTTACACAGTGTCATGTCTCATTTTGTTTCATTAACTCCATGACACTGGCAGACACAACGCAGGCCAGGAGGTGGATCGCACAGACCCTGCTTCATCAAGTAGGACTTGCTTTTTTTTAAATGCACAGAACAAGATCATCCCCTGGTAGCACACAGAGAAGGAAACTTCTCCCCCCCCCACAACAGTACACAGAGGAGGAAACTCTCCCCACAGCACACAGAGGAAGAAACCTCTCCCCCTCACCACGTGCGGCTGAGTATGGGCTTCTAGGTTATACAGCAGCAGGCATGGTGGGGTTGACCAGAAGAGTTCAAAGGGTCTTGGGGGTCCTTCCCCCCCCCTGGAGCATGAGAAAAGGAAGAAAGGGATGGTGACTGCAAGGGCAGGTATCCAGTGCCCCATGTGAAGGGCAGCCCCTGGGAACTACTGTGAAATAAGCAGCTATTCTGTATCAGTGAGGCTGGCAGCTGTCCCAGATGCCGTTATTTTATTTCACCTACGCCCTCTGTGCGCCACGGGAGGGGGAAGCTTGGGGCCCCGTGCCTCCTGCCTGCCTGCTTTCCAAGCTCTTCGCATCACTGTGGTGCCTGGCCTCCGACGCCTGTGGTTCTGGCCTAGCCACCTCACCTGACACCCGCAGGATGACGTCTGCCTGCTGATTGAAATGTCCCACATTGGCCCACAGGGAGCAGCGATAAGTGCCAGCGTCCTCTGGCCGGACCTTAGGAATGACCAGCGACTGCTGCTCGTCCATCAGGAACTGCCGCTGGATCTTGTCATACACCATCGTCCGGTTCTTGAGGTTCCGAATCAGCCCCGTTTCCTGACTGTTGTTGACGACCTGCAACGCAGCAACAGGATCCCATTAGTGCATCGGGGCGCATGGCACAGCCTGGCATGCCGGGCTGCCGGTTAAATTAGGGCAGAACAGACCAACTCCCGTTGCTGGGCACTAACACCTTTTCATGCACCTGCCTGTGGCACTGCCTTACGTTCACACAGCCACGCAGCACGTGTAAAACGGGCAGAGGGGCTCCCAGGATGCAGCAACCAGCACTTCTCACAGAGTCAGCTGGGATAAGGCAGCAGGCAGTGCCATGGGGGTCTCTCTGTGCCCATGCACCCATAACCCCAACTGTCCGTGGCCACTGAAACAAATAGAAGGAGCCCTGGATACCCTCTTTCCCCTCCAGACTGTCCCCATGTGCACTAGCCCTGAGAGTGTGCAAAGAGCTGTGCTGCTGTTTAGAAAAGCGCTGGCTCTTCCAAGTGGTTCAGGACACGTGCTGCCTCTGTGAGAGGGCGCTACCTTGTACCAGCCACTGGCCCAGAAGTTCTGCATCCCTTTGGCAGCAGGGGGGCAAGGGAGGACTGCTGCTGCCCCACACTGGCTGTCCATGGACACTGCTGCCACTGCCAGTCTTTGCAGGAGGAGCCACAAGCAGCCAAGAGCTGGAAGTGGGAAGAGAGACTCAGTTAGGAGTGCAGCCTTGAATCCAGGAAGGGCTCCCCATCCACCTCCCTCCGAGCTCTCCGCACAGGCTGCAGTCCCCGCCGGAGGATGCTCTGCACCTGCGGAGAGGGGCAGGCGCCGTTGCAGGTTCTAGCACCCCCGCCCTCTGCGGTGGTGCTGGCTCTGCCGAGCTCCAAGCCTCGGGCTGAGGTTTCACAGAGCTGTGAGAAGGTTCCTGCTGCCTCTCGGAGTTGTTTTGAATCATTTTCAAGAGACAGTTGACCTTCAAAGCCCCTTGGTATGAGCCAAACAAGGCTCTGGGGCAGCCCACAGCTGAAGCGCTGTAAGGCAGAGCCACCCGCCTGCGCTCTCCAATCCAGCCAGCACTGGCAAGCCTGAGGGCCTACAACGAGGAGTTACATAATGTACAGGTCCAGAGCACCTGCTCTTCCTCCTGGGGCAGGGGCAGAGACACCACGGCTGAAAATCAGGATGCTCTGATTTCGGTGCTGGACTCCAGGCCCCCTGAGCCAGCACGTTTCAGCCTCTTCCTTCTGCCTGTACTTGCAGGTGTCAAATCTTACTGAAAGCTCCCCGGCTTTCGCTTGGACAACTCACCCCATGGAGCACCCTTCCCTGCCACAGGGGCCAAGGCTTGGGGGCTCTTGGCCCAGCTCTGTTTGGGACTTTTCACCAAGTCTTGAATGCAGTGGGGTGCAGTTGACGCGCTGTTACTCAGGCCCAGTCCAACCTGAAAGGTTCTGCTAGTGAAGCTGCAGCACTTTTCTGTGCTAATGAATCACATCTGTGATCAGCACAGCTCTGCCAGCCAGAGCACTAGCACGGTGCACTTATACTAGCCCCAAACTCCTTTGGCCAGTACAGAAACCACTGGAACAGCCAGAGAGCTCTTCCCCAAGCTAAGCTGGACCCAGAAGGGTGACTTGCCAACGTAGCAGCACAGGCAGCCTCTTCCCAATGCACACCAGGTTTAGTACCCCAAAATGTTCAAGAGCAGCAGCAAAGAGAGCTGTCACGGCTGTGCTGTTCTCCGGATGGGCTTGCTGTATTTCGCTGAACCCGTTCAAGTCCGGAGAGAAGCTCACAACACCGTTAGCAGATACGGTGGGCAATGAGCAAAGGGACTTGCTGCTCTGGCAGTGCTTGCCAACGCCATCCAAGTACTTCCTGGACTCTGCTGTGGTCCAGATACTGCCTTGGCGACCACGGTCCCGGAGCACCTTGTGATCAGTAAGCTGCTCGCCCTCCCCATAGCCTCTGGGAGGTGGGAAAGAACTTCCTTCTCCTACTTCCAGATGGAGACCAAGGCCGAGAAAAACAAAGTTTAGGGCTGGCTGGACAGTGTATCTCAGAGCATCTGGCACTGAGCACAATGACTCAGAGAACTGGGTGCCAACCCAGCTTTTGCTGGTGCCTTCAGGGCTGGTTCTTTGTCAGAGATGGAAAATTGTGACTTTCACTCAAAACTTGAATCTGAAACCTCACAGCTCCGTATATACAGTCTCTGTATTATACTCTGCAGACTCTGCCCGCAGTTGGTGACCTTCTGCAAATGGTTTTAACAAAAAAGGATTGTGACATGGGAATGATCAATTAAGATCAAAAGAGAACAGTGGTTCTCCATCCTCTTTACTGCAGGCCTTCAAATATTTGAAAACTGCTAGCATGCCCCCTTCCATCTTCTTTCCTCCACACTAAACAGCTTACCTCTCTCAACCCTTCCTCATCTGGCTGCGTTTCAGCCTATCATCTTTCTTGTTTGCTTCTGGATCCTCTGCACTTTCTGCACATCCTTCCTAAAAGGACTCTGTCGAACTGAGCTCCTCAAAGTATTGAGACAATTTTGATTTCTAATCCTGCCCTCCGAAGTTTCTGCCACCTCTCCCAGCTTGGTGTCATCTGGCATCTTCAGAGGCATGCTCTGTCTTCCACCATCCAGGTCATTTGGGAAAATACCGAATAGCATCAGACTAAGAAGAAACTCCCACGATACAAGGCTCTTTTGGGCTAAGTCCTTCCAGTCTGACAACAAACAGGTGCCAACTGCTCTTTAACTATGTCTTTTCAATGTTATGGGCACAGCCAACATACAAACAATACATGAACAACAGTCATAGAGGAAATGCTCTCATTTAATTTGTTTTTAGAAATAAATGTACCCCCTCCCAAGTTGCAGCCCCCCCCAGACAAGTAATAGCACTCTCCCTGGATCTTAACATCAAGTGACGCTCAGGGAGCAGTGCATAGTAGTGGCACGAGACCAAGACCTTTGGCTTCCTGAGAGTCAGCCTGTCCCATGTATCTCTTCCCCAGCACACAGGTGCCAGTGCCAAGACGAGGAGGAAGTTACCAAGTGAATAAATTCCTGATGAGGACTCACCCAAGGGCAACATCTGCGCAGTCTGGGCGCGTGCAGGGGCAAGAGCTCCTGAGTCTCAGAGCTTCCTGCTTTGCTGAATGGAAAGCAGTGGGCTTGTTTATGAAGAAAATGAAAGCTGGCTGTTGAAGACTGTGATACCCAGTGTAAAGTACCCGCTGTGGGTGAGGAAACGGGTCACAGAGTCCTCAGCTTGTGGTGAGCAATGTATTAGATTGACACCCAGCATCCTGGCACCGAAGGGGCGTGTGGGCTCCCCTCATGTCCCCAAAGCCAGCTTTCTCCCATTCAGATTCAAGCATCCTCTTGCCTGCTTATTCCGCCAGGCGCTCCACGCTCTCCGCGCTCCCTGCCACCCATAAGGCCGATGCTCTCCCCTTCCTCCAATTCGTCCACAAAACCCCGGTCTGCCTGAACCCGCCCAAGCGAGGAGGCTTTGGAAATAAATTGCACTTTGGAAATAAACTTTCCGACGACTCAGGACCGGGCCACACCAGACTGCCTACACTGAGCTGTTGCACACAAAGGGCCAACCCTGACCCAACCGAAGTCGGTGGCAATGGTCCTGCCGACTTCAATGGATACGGGCTCAAAACCTCATCCGGTGCATCAGTCCTTCCTATCACGTCAGACCTTCCGTCTCTTGTCGAAGATCACAAAATCCCCCAGGGCAGGAACCACGTGTCCCACCACGTACGACAGCATCAGTGGTCTTGCTGAAGTCACGCTATATCTTGCCCGCAATTTCCTCCCACACCCAAGGCCAGCGATGCCGCCAGCGGCAGAGATTAGACTGGGTCTCGACACATGCACTCTGGCAGTTTGGTCATCTCGCTATCTCCCAGGCGCCCCTGAAGACAAGGCTCACCCACCCGGGTCCTCACCCTGCACAGCAAGATAACACTTCTCCACGCAAGAGAGCAGATATTGGGGGTGAGCGCGGAGCCTCTAGTGTCCCAGCACACCTGGACAAGGCGCCCAAAAGAAACGAGCCTGGTATTTTGCTTATTTTACCAGAAATCTTAACCGCTGCCTGTGTGGGCAGCACAGGGTGCGCTTGCGAAGCCCCATCCCAAACGAAGGGGATGTCCGACCCCTGGGACGGCGTTCGTTCTAAACCGCCAGCCCAACATGTTACAACAGGAGCGACAAGAGGAGAGAATGACCCCCGTCCCGTCCCGTGTGGGTGCCTGGCAGAGGCCGGCAGCTGAGGGCGGATCCGGGATGTTGTAGGGGGCGTGCAGGGTGCAGGGTCCCCCACGGACCAAACACCACACCCATGTGTCTCCAGTGCCAAGAGCCGACACACCTGACAAAGGCGCCGGGGCCTGGGGCAGGGGAGGCTGAAGCACGGCCACTTCCCCTGCGCAGTGAAGGAGTCAGCAGGAAGGTGGGGTGGGGCAAGGCGCAGGTGTGGGCGGAGCCGAGGGGCCCGTGCCCCGCCTTTCCAAGATGGCGCCCCCGACGACCGGTTGCCATGGCGGCGCGCCGCTCTTCCGGCGCCGCTCAATGACGTTGCCCGCAGAGCCAGGGAGCGCCGCTTCCGGGTGCGACGGCTCGCGCCGCAGGCGGGATGGGGGCGGCCCGAGACCCCGAGCAGCCGCCGGGCCCGCCCGGGGACGATGGGCCGCACGAGGGCGACGGGCAGCTCGTCAGCACGGTAAGACCCCCCCCTGGGCTGCCCCCTCCATGCCCCCCAGTCCTGACCCTCGCTCTATACCTCCCCCCTTCATAGCCCCCCCGGAG